GGGCTGATCCCGGACTGCTGCTGCTGCCGTCACCACTGCCAGGGAGAGGCCGAGAGCCCAGCCGGCGTGGGTCCCGGAGGAGAGCACTGCTGCCTGGCGATCCGTCCCAGTCGCGGTTGAGGCTAGGGTGAGGGGAACGGCAGGGGTGGTGGGAGGAAGGAGTCCCCGGGACGCAGAGAACAAAAGACAGCGGGCGGGGACCGGGAAGGACTGCGCCGTGGCACCTGTTGGGTGCTGGCCGGCCAGGTCGGGGCTCCGTCTCTCAGTGCCCCCACCTGCACGGAGTTGTGTCCCCGCGTGGTGGTGTGTCTACGGTCGGGGCAGCGGCATTGTCGGAGACCAGAGAGGGGGGACGGGTAAGGTGGGATGGAGCCGATGTGGGAAGGCACAGCCTCATCCCCGTTCCCCGGGCCGACCCCTTGTCTGCAGGGCTTGCGGCGATGTGAGCCATGAGCACGACCTGGACGCTGTCCCCCGAGCCGCTGCCGCCGTCGACGGGACCCCCGGCGGGCGCGGGGCTGGACGCCGAGCAACGCACAGTCTTTGCCTTCGTGCTCTGCCTGCTCGTGGTGCTCGTCCTGCTGATGGTGCGCTGCGTGCGCATCCTACTCGACCCCTACAGCCGCATGCCCGCCTCGTCCTGGACCGACCACAAGGAGGCACTCGAGCGTGGCCAGTTCGACTACGCGTTGGTTTGAACCACCTCACCCTGGGGTGGCCTTCCATCGGGTCGGGGCCCACCGGTCTGTTGTGGGGTGCCGGTCTGTTGTGGGGTGCCGCCGGCCCGACCGCCCTCTGGATCCCGCCCCAGAGCCCAGCCCAAGGAGGAGGGCATGAGAAGTCCAGCCCCTCCTCCCCCAGACCCCTCCCATATACTCAGGCCTCTGCCATCATCCCTCCCCGCAAGCCCGAGCCCCACTTCGTGCCTTTTCCCGCCCTGTCCTCGCCCCCAAATTCACCGATCCCCACAGCGTGTAGGTGACTGCTATTGTTCTACCGCCAGCATAAATGTTATGTCGGTTCCAGGATAGGGAGACTCCTCTGTCCCTCCCTTCCCCTGTGGTCTGGCCATCCCACTAGATACCCCGTAAATGCTGAACCCCTCCTTTGGCTCCCTCCTGGACCCACGGGGTGGATGCTGCATACCAATATGCCCTGTGCAGCCTGGCCTGAATCCCAGCGTGAAGAGCAACAATGGCTGCTGTGTTCTGTGGGGGCAAAGTGCGGCAGACTCACTCCTGCCCCAGTCCAGTCCCTGGTTTATATCAGCACTCCCTGCCCCTAGTCACCACCTCTGTAAGCCAGTCACTGGCAATCCTGCCACCTTCCCCCTGATTCCTCCTGCCACACCCCCACACCATCTCCCTGCTGCCCATGCCCTTCTCATGCCTTCTCACTCCTGCCTCTGAGCTGATGGTAATAATAAAAGCTATTATTGAGCACTTACTTGAGCCAAGCAGCAAGCTGAGTTAGCATCTCTGCGAGTGCTTCAAAGACACCCAGACCCACATTTTGGGGAACTGGTATGTCACCACCTCAATATCCCTAGCTCCAGGCGTAGCCAAGACACCTTCCTCTTTCCCTTGACCTAGGGAGATGGGGCTGTGGGATGGACTTAGCTGAGTGGGCAGTTGGGATGGGGTGCCCTCAGCCAGCCCTGGAGGTGGAATCCAAGAACTGGCATGGCTTCCTGCTGTGATGACTGCATCTTCAGCTCCAAACCCCTCTCACCCTGGCCCTCCTTCCCATCATCATGTGCTCTTGGGAACCTGGGGGTGGGCTGGGGGCGTGATCATGGAGTGTGCTGACTCCATTCCACAGCCCACCTGGGAGATGTGTTGTGCGCCCTGGAGGAGCTGTGTGCAATGTGTGGAGAGGTGGTGAGGGTTTCTATAAAAGGAAGGCTGAGTGAATGCACAGGCTCTCAGAGGACTAGTTAGGCCTGGGGGAATGCCATCCCATGAGAGGACACCTGGTTCCTGCCCCACCCTCCCCAACCAGCCCCTGAACCCGTACCCTCCAAGGCTGATGGAGGGGGTACCCCTTGCAAGGAAACCCAATAGTACTTCCAGGAATTTGGGGCCTTTCACAGCAGCTGGGACTCTGTAATTTACCCAGTCCTGCTCTTCCTCCTCCCCTGGCTTCCCCAAGGTTACCTCAGGGGACACTCTCTCTAACCTGCAAATGGGACAGCCCACCCGTAACCCTCGGGCCCCCAGCGTTGGGCTTGGCTCCTAGCTGCCCTGTTGGGAAACCAGAATATCAAAAGTTTACTAAGGGAACTTGCCGTCAGAAGCGGCTCCACACCAGAAGGGAAGGGAGGCGTGATATATATAGCCAAGTGGCAACAGGCACACTTGTCTATGCAAGAACATTTCTTTTTTTTTTTTGCAAGAACATTTCTTTCAGGTGATATGCACCCACCCCTTCCAGGGTGAGCTGGTGGTCTTGGTGACTATCTGGTTAAGTACAAAGAATCATTTTGCCCAACACGCCCTCACTCTGCTGGTGTACCCTCTCCATCTGTATGATGTAGTCACCCTGCTCAGAAAACCTTTCCCTGACACCTGTCAGGCTCAGGCTTGTCTTGACCCTCCATGTAATCACCAAACAGGTCACTCCAAACAGCTCTGGAGCAGGCCTGGCAGTGGTAGCCTTTGGGGAACACACCCTCCTCCCTGGCATGCCCCCCTTGGTCCCCAAGACTCTAAGCCCTGTCTCTCCTACCTGACATCTTCCTCTGTACTTTAAGCCACATCTGCCACCATTTTTGTTGTTGCTAATCCTCACCTGAGGATATATTTTTTCCCATTAATTTTTACAGTGGAAGGGAGTGGGGGGGAACATCGATGTGAGAGACACTGACTGGTTGCCTTCCGCATGTGCCCCAGCCAGGGCTGGGAATCAAACCTGCAACCCTTTGGTGGGTGGGCGGACACTCTAACCACTGAGCAACACCAGCCAGGGCTCTGCCACCTTTAAGTCAAAGGAAAAAGAGCGAGACAACCCTTACTGGGTAGCTCAGTCAGTTAGAGCATCATCCTAATATGCCAAAGTTGTGAGTTTGATCCCAGGTCAGGGCACATACAAGAATCAACTGAGTGCATCAATAAGTGGAACAAATCAATGCTTCTCTCTCCCTTCCTCTCTCTAAAATCAACTTTCAAAAAAAAGACAGACTGACAACTTTATTCAGTTATAGGGCATAGGCAACAGGATGTAGGAAGGGGGAGGGACCAATGGGGGGATAGTATTTGATGGTAGTTTTAGCCCAGCCATCTGGATGCCCCCACCTCAGTTCTGTGGCTGAACTCTTATACAATTGGGCTTCCATTTCTGAGACCCCCTGCTGTATGGAACATCTTAAAGGCCACTTGGCACTGCACACCGAATCAGGGGCTTTCCACTATGACCAGATCCTCATGAATACCCAGTGCCAGCCTAAGCAGAATTGAGGGCCAGGGGTTCACAGAGGTCTGGTATGTCCTCTGCCTGCTGGGCCCCTCACTTCGCAGGGGTGGCCACCTGGCCCAGAAGTTCCAGGGGCACCAGAAATGGGTTCAGGGGGCAGACCCCAGCTGCTTGCCAGGCAGATCTCAGTTTGCTGGGCCTGGCATTCTCAGGCGCCTGAGGGGTGGCCTGGCTGGCCTCCTCTTGCCCTCTAGAACCAGTTCCACAATCCTCAGCCCCTGGTCCCAGGCTTCCACTGCTGGGGTCAGACTGGGGGGCCATCAGATGTAGGTATGTATCCATCATATGCTCAGCCAGAGCTGCACAAGGCAGGTGATGCAGCTCATCAGGAAGTGCCATGAGCAGGTCAAGGACCACAGCTGACTCTGGTGGTGGATGGAGACAGGAGGGGTAAGAGGAGGGCAGGGCTTGCTGCCTGGGACCCTGCCACCACAGCCCCCGCTCCCCCCCCCATTCTTCTCACCAGCTGCGGAAAGCTCAGGGCCATGGCAGCTGTGGGAGATGGATGACAGGTACTTGTAGATCTTCTCAAAGTCCACTTCAAGGTCTCCCTCAGTAGAGGGGCCAGCCAGGAGGAGTTCAGAAGGTGCCTCAGGGGTGGGGCCAGGAACCTCAGGACTCTGGTTCTCCTGTCCACTAGGGGTGTTAAGGGGCAGTAGTTTTCCACGTGCCTGTGTGGGCTTGGAGGGCTTGGAGTGCAGGAGGCTGATGGGCTCCACAGCCGTGATGGTGAGCGCCTGGCAGGCAGACAGATCAGGAAGAGAAAGACAGAAGTCCTCCCTTCAGCCACTCCCCTGCCCTGCAAACTGTGCTAAGCCCCTCCACCTGCTCACCCAAGGAAGGTGTCACATACAGAAGATGGCCTCAGAGGAGGGATACTGAGGTTCAAGGTGTCCAGTGACTGACCAGTCACAGAACTAGCAAGAGAAAGGGCCCAGGATACAGATCCATAACTTACTTAGGCTCTTATGTATGACCCTGTCCCTAGGGACACCCCTTCCTCCCTAAGGGATGGCTATACCTGTGAGAAAGCCACAGTCAGGGCTTCCTCCAGTGGGCCTGTTATCTTCTCAGCCAGATCCATCCATACCTGGGTGGGGCAACCAGAAAGTACATGGTCAGTCTAGGGATCAACCCTCAGGAGTCCCCCAAGCCCTGTCCTTCCTGAGGATCCTCTGACCAAGTTATCTTCCCAACTCCCACCCCATCTACCAGGGGCTGCCGTTGGGGAGCCTTGCCCTGCCTCACCTCGATAGGGGCTGGGGGCTGTGTTTCCAGACATCTTTGACCCTTTAGGCCACCTGGATGCACCCTCTGAATGGCTTCCCGGGCAACACGGCCCTTGAGCTGCTGGAGGAAATCTCGAATCTGGGGAAGAGAAAGGAGACCAAATGGGCCTTCTACAAACCCAGGGCTGGTGGAGAGAGGCCAAAGATCACCGCCTGCTCCAGAGCCAGCCACTGCTCCTTGCCTCCTGCTAGCCCGATGTTAAGGGTCACAGCGGCTCTGCCCAGGGTCTGAGGCAAAGGCCCAGGTGTGACATAAAAATGTAAGGTCGAGGCCCATGTTGCTCCCGCCGCAGTACTACCCTATTCGCCTCCGCGCTTCGTCCACTCTCCCCCATTTCCTGATTCTCATTTCAACCTCATTCCCGCCCAGTCCCGCTGTACCATCGGCCCCCTTCCGCGCGGTCCTACTCCGAGTTCGCCCCGCCCCTAAATTTTGCCTTCGCCCCGCCTCCGCC